ATTTACCCCCCTGCCGGGTGCGGTACCGGCCTACCCGCTACTTGAGTGCTTTTTCCCTGCTGCAACCCTTCAAAGCCACGGCCACAAGTAAGTACCGGCCCTGAGGGCCCAACGAACGAACAAGTGCCCTGGCGGGCCACACACACACTCATACCAACCAGCACTTAGACAGGCACAGTCACACACACAGAAGCCAACCAGCACTCAGACATAAATGCAGTCCAGCAAGCACACACGCACAGACTTAGCAGGCGGGAACTCAGTAGGGTATTCAGTCTATGAGCAAAACTCAGAAATCAGCTGTGTGTTTCAGTCCATGTTTGGACGGGTTATCACACTACCCCCCCCTCAAGAGCGAGGTCCCTTCGAGCGAGTAACTCATTCTGATTCCTCGGCAAATGCATCGTAGGCGAGCAAGGCAAAGAGATTCCTGGAATACTCTGTCGCGGTGAGCCTTGCTGAGATCTTGGGTGCGGCGTTAGCAGCGATTTGGCGCTCGTAGGCTTTAACAACGCGCGGTGCGCTGCATAGCAGTTCCTGTTTGGAGATCCAGTACAGATCGTCTAACGGGTGATATATAAAATGAACCTGGTACTGTCTGTTTCTCCCCTTACCTACATGCTGTTTGATTCTATCTGTCTCATGCCCACCCTTGATTGCGCGAGGGATCATATCTTCGCGGTAATCGAATGTCTCGGCATCACGGTGGAGATACAGTTTCGATGCATGGAACACGGGATATGTACGCAGGTGAGCTGGCACGTCTACAACGTACGAAGGGCCAAAGTCATCTTTACCAATCACATCCAAAACTTCCCAGGGCCCATAATAGAGAGGGAGGAGTTTGCGTGAGACTCCCTCTTCTTCTGAGAATTCAGACATCTTGACCCAGACATAGCTTCCTACCTCAATATCTGACGGTCTGCGCTTCTTGTTCGCGTGATGGATCATGGCGTGTTGTCGCTTGGTCATAGCTGCAATGGCAACTTTGAGCAAGCGATCATACTTGGCCCTGAAGCCAGGCCTGCCAGGTGTTAAACCAGCTGGCTGCTCAGGGCATAGGTAAGAGAGCGGATTCCGGATCTGCCAACCGTAATGCAGCCTGTTGGGTGTCATGCCAGTGGCGGAATGGACGGAGTTGTTGTATAACCCTTTAACGGAATACAACTCTTCATCCCATGTTTCCTGATTCGGGATAATCAAAGCGCGAAGTAGTTGGAAGACAGTCTGGTTGATCTCCTCAGCCAAACCATTGGCTTCGGGGTGTCGGCCAGACGTCATGCACAGTTTGATTCCTAGGTGAGACGTGAAATCCTTCCATTCAGTGCTAATGAAACGCGGATCCCGATCGCTCACAAGAGTCTTCAGGGTTCCGAATTGCAGCAGGTATTTCTGTTGGAATTCGCGAATCACTAGATCTGTTGGGGCGTGGGGTGGCAAAGGGATCAGATTAAGAAATTTTGAAAATCGGTCAACAATCACCATGACTTGTGAATACCCGTTTTTGCTTACCTTACCCATGTCAGTGAAATCGATGGAGACAGACTCCCCAGGACCATCAGGAATGGGTAGGGGTGTGAGTAGCCCCATGGGCTTCTGTCTGCATGGTTTGATCCGTTGACGGACTTGACATTCAGCCACAAACTTCTCAGCAGTCCCCTTCATGCCAGGCCAATCAAACTGTCTCAGCAAATTAGTGTACGTTTCTGCCATGCCGAAGTGCCCGCTCCGACCATGAGCGAAATCCAGAAAGTGTGTGCGGAGAGGCTCATGGTTGGGCACACACAAACGGTCATGGTTCCCGTAACGACAAAAAATCAGTCCTCCATACTCGTGGAAATCAGGCTGACTACTAGGATCAGCCCGCAGCCGCTCAAGGATGGAACTAAGTTCCGGATCCTTGGTTGTCTGCTCTACGAGCTCCTCCTTCTGTTTATTCCTGAGGTCGCAGGATTTCACAAGGCAAGTCATGTACTCAGGGTGGTGAGACAATGCGTCAGCGACTCGATTATAACAGCCCTTTTTGTGTCTTAATTCAAAATTGAAGATGTCAATCTCATGAAGCCAACGAAGCAAGGTAGGGGACAGGGTAGTTTGCTGTTTGATCCACTTCAAGGTCTCATGATCGAAGAAGACTTTGAAGTGGCGTCCCAAAAGATAATGTTTCCAGTGATCCAACGTCATACGCAGAGCATAGAGCTCGCGCATGTAGGTGGAAATGACTACCTTTACGCTGGGCATCCGTTTGCTGAAGTACTCGAGTGGCTGCAGGCCATCGCCGTCATCTTGTTGCAGCACTGCACCGATTCCATACTGACTTGCATCCGTAGTAACTACGAATGTCAGTTTGGGATTTGCAATGCGGAGTACTGGGTAACTTACCAAGGCTTCCTTGAGAGCTCGAAAAGCTTCCGTACACGCGGCATCCCAGGAACATGGCACATTTTTACTGGTTAGTCGCGACAATGAACGAGCAATGATGGAGAAACGGGGTACAAACTTCCGATAGTACGACGTGAGACCAAGGAAAGAACGCAATTCGCGAATGTTCGCAGGCTGAGGCCAATCGCGTATGACCTCAATCTTGGTTGCCTCAGGCTCTAGGCCTGCAGCAGACAACCGCTGCCCAAGATAGATGACGCTATCCTTCCCAAACTCAGATTTCTCCAAGTTGAGATGGAGCTGCGTCTTCTTGAGGATAGCGAGCACCTCCTCAAGATGCTTGAGGTGTTCCTCCATGGACTTGCTGAAGATCAGAATATCATCCAGGTACACTACCACAAACCGACCAATCTGTTCGCGGAGGACCTTGTCCATGAGGCTTTGGACAGTGGCTGGTGCGTTCGTGAGACCGAAGGGCATTACAGTGAACTCATAAAGCCCGTCGCGTGTTTTGAACGCAGTCTTGTGCTGGTCCGCATGATCGACTTCAATCTGGTGGTAGCCACACTTGAGATCGATCTTGGAGAAGACCTTGCACCCTCCTGCGGCATCAAGCAAATCGTCTATGCGGGGTAATGGATAGGCATTCTTTCTTGTAATGCGGTTTAGACCGCGATAGTCAATACACGTGCGGAGTTTGCCTCCTTTCTTTGGGACAAACAACACAGGAGCATCAAATTCAGATTCACGGGGTTTGATCCACCCTTTGTCAATCATCTCATCGATCTGTCGCCGGAGTTCCTCCAACTCGCCGGGTCCCATACGGTACACGCAGCCCTTTGGAGGAACAACGCCCTCGACCAACGCGATGGTGTGTCGAACCGGTCGCGTGGGGACTCCACGTGGCTCGACCAGGACTTCCGAAAACCGATCGAGGAGGGTTTGGATGTCTGGTGGGACAGGTGGGGGTGGGGAATCAGCAAAGGGATCACCAAGATCCGGTCGCAAGTCGCGTATAGAGACGACCGAATCTGAAGTAGGATCATTTGGACTATTAGAGGGTAGAGGGATAGAGGTGCTAGAAATAAAAGTACCAGAAGTAGGATCATCAATCAAAGTAGTAGTGTTCTTAGCCGCGGAAGTAGATGGCACATGGGTAGGACGAACAAAGGCAACATACAACTGTTCTTCCTCCTTGTGCTTGCGCCATTTCTTGCAGAACTGCATAGCATTCAAAAAAGTTACTGGGGATTTGCGCTTCTCAGCCAAGAGGACAGGAAGCTCGTTCCCCTGAGCATCTTTGACCATGAAGAGTGACTCCTTCCACTCGGTCCATTCGCATTGGGACTGCAGCCAGCCCAAGCCAAGGACAACGTCGAAGGGGCACTTGTCAAGGACAAAGAAGTTCAATGTGTGGGTGACGGTCTTGCCTTTGTCAAAGGTAGTGCGCACACCTTTGACTGCATGCGTGGAAGAGACAACTTCCTTGTTGCCAACTTGGGTCCGGCAAGGGTTCTGCAGGGCCACTTGCTTCATCCCCAAGCCCACCTTGCATATCCCATGTGGTGACATGAAGTTAGTTGTAGCACCACAGTCAACCAACACACGAAGATAGCGGTGGTTTATGAGAAGTTTAAAGAAGATCAACTTCACTGTCCCTTGGGCACGCTGCTGTTTCATCTCAGCCCAATGCTCCAAGTGGTAGTGGAAGTCAACCATCTCAGACTCCTCCAAAGGCTCGACATACAAGACATTACTTACCTCAGCCTTGTCTTCAGCAGATGGTTGGGCTTCAAGGGAGGGCTGCTGATTTTCAACAGAACCGGACTCCCCTGCTGTAGAGTTTGCTGAATCTGACTCTACGCCCGATTCTAGTTTCCCTGCAGCCTATAACAGTCTTGAACCTTATGATTTGGTTTTCGACAATGCAGGCAAACCCCTTTCTTGAGTCTGCCCCGCCAGTCATTCTCAGTGATCCGGAGGTCAACCCAAGGTTTGGAAGTTGCATCCTCCGGTTTAGGCGGGATCTTGACTCCTTTGGGAAGTTGGACATAACTTTTCCTGACACTCTGATTCGGTCCCTTAGTACTAACAGTTTTTTTAAGGCAGAAAATTTTTCTTCTTCTTTATTTGCATTGGACTCATGGGCTGAAGAACAAGATGTATCGGAGTCCTGTTCTTGGTCGTCACCAAGAGTGGGGTCACCCGCATCGGCTTCTTCTTCGGCCTCCAGCAGGTCATGCACAGCAAAACGGCTGTTGCCCTGGAACCGTCTGCCGCCCATGGGCTTTTTGCTGCCTGCCGTGCTAACAAGGTCTACAACCTCCAAACTGACTATGTCCTTCATGAAGGTGAGCCAGTCAGTGTATGCAATGTAGTCCCTGCCCAGGCGATTGGTGAAGTTAGTTGGCACCGCGCCCTTAACCACATCTAAGCAATATTGAGCAGACAATTCCAAACAAGGAGTAGCGAACATCTTGCTAAGATAGGTTTGTCGGCTTATTATTGTGAGATAAGGAGATCCTCGAGGGAGGCAACCGGGGTGGTCGTAAGCCATTTCGCTAGTGCAGTCTTTTGGAACCTAGCCTGCGTCGCTTGGACTTCTAAGAAGCCCCGTACGACCGGCTCGATATTCATTCCCATGATCACCGCCTGGGTCTCAGGTTGAGTCCCAGAATCTAAAAGTAGGCCCTCATGGAGCCGATGTCTTCCTTGCCGTCGTACTTAGACGGCATTTGGACCGCCTTCCGGTCCACATAGGGACCAGCAACAACTACTTCCGATCTTGGGGCTGCAGCAATTGCAGAATTCCCTGCCTCACTGCTGATCACAACAGCAGCGGAATTTGCACTTGCCGCAGGTCCCGAGGGGGTTGCCATCACACTCGAAGAGGAGGTAGAAGAAGATACGGTGAGAGGGGCAAGATTAGTTGTAATTGCAGCGCCGAAATCAGGGGGTAAGGGAAGAGGGTTGGTTACTTGGGCCTGCCGCAGCTCAGCAATCTCAACCGTCAAGTCGTGGTACTTGCTGGTCATATCAGCCAGATCTTCCTGGAGCTTCTTCAATTTATCGAAGACTTCAGCGATCTGGCTGGTGTGATCCTCAAGACTCCGGACTTGGATGATAGCGGTAAGTATGGTCTGTAGCTGCTCCCCACATTGTTCTTTACTCAGTGAGGGAACAATTTGCAAGATGGCCTCTTGAGCCTCCAAGAACGCCTCCTTCCTCTCCCTCTCCGACTCTTCTTCCCTTTTGATTGCATTGTCTAAAAGTGCTTGCAGATATGGTTTCTCAGCATCACTGGCTGCATCTAACAAGGCTCGCCATTGCACTGACGTTAGCTGAGCCATTTTCGGACAGGTGGGTCAGAGAGTCGCCAATCAGCAAAAGAATCAATTAGACTCTCAAGAGGTTCACTCCCCTTCTCGCTTGGACGAGCACTCCTTTTCCCAATCCTTGCCCACTTCATACGGTCACTTTCCCTCTCTCCTTTTTCTCTCTCCCTCCTCTCTCTCTCTTCTTTCAGATTGTGAGTTTCCACGGGCATCGGAAATAAACTCACAAAAATAACTGAAAAGCTCAGCGAAGAGAAGGTAGAACTCCTAGTCGAAGCGGCATTTCATTTGGAAGTAGAGAGCAACAAAATCAAAAGACACAAACAAACTCAATGAGAGGTCTGATCCAGCGACCCAGTCCGATCAGACTGCATACGAGGTCCTCTCGAGTCCAATCTGACCAGCTCCGTGTCCGTACAGCAAATCCACGGCCTTCCGGAAGGTCCTAGCAGTGGCCTTTCGAAGTTGCCCACATTTTAGACTGAGGCAAGTGGGCAAGTGGTGGAGTCTACCCGTGCTGAGTCAGCAGTCCCAGTCCCAGTCAGTCCTAGTCCAGTCAAGCAAGTACCGCATGGGACTGTGTGCACTACGGGCATGGGAAAGGGCCAAACCAGAGAGCTACAACAGTATAAATCAAAGGGCAGCGTCCAGCCATTCATTCATTCCTGCATGAGCCATGCGGAAGCGCTGCCATAGCGACTTGTGCGAGGTGGTCTGCAGTGAGCCCGAGGACGAAGGGGTAGCAGCGGCCATAGCTGCCATAGTTGTAGATGTGTGCAGGTGTGTGTGAGTGTACAGAGTGTGTTGTGTGTGGGGTATCCAGGGTGATCCTGTGTGCGAACAACACTGTCGGGTGAGTGACAAACAGAGAGTGGTACAGGCGATGTGCTGCCATAGCCAGTGGAAGTGAACTTGTATCTGAACTGAGTTCTTGGTACTATATCTCTGAGTTCTGAGTGGACACTTGACGCCAGTTTGCTGCGCAACCTGTTTGCATACATGTGAAGTGTGAATGAATGTGAGTCTGATTGCAGGTCCGTTGCCACACTAGATATTCGCGGCGGCAACCAACTGGCCTAATTCAAAATTCAGTATGTAGTATGTACTATGTACACCCCTGAACTGTTGAGATACAGATTCGAGTCCCGTCCCGTGAGATCTGATCTGTTACTCATGCGCTGTTTCACGTGGCCCACCACGGGCTTGAAATGCGAGAATAGGGGCCTTGCTGGTCCGTTTGCCTTTTTTTTTTTTTTTTTTTCTTTTGGAAGAATATCGTTGGCCGTTTCTGATGTGCTCCCCATCAGAGACATGGAGCAATCAATGCTTCCATCATTTTTTTTTGTTTTCTCTCACGCTGCCGTTCCATAATGCATCTGACTGCATTTGTGGCCGCCCTGGGCTGATTCACAACTGAAAACGGCTGCCCCATTTTGAACCAGGTGTTGGCTGCATGTCCAGCATAAGGGGCGGTACCTGTGCCATTCAGAAAATGTCCCCTACACGTTCTCGCCCCCTCCAGGCTCGGCAAAGCTTGGTGCGCACGGCATATTCAGGCTCAGCATCAATAGCTGGGCCAAGTACTGGTGGTTTAAGCAGGAGCCTTCCCCTTCAACCTTCTTTCATAGTCTGCCACAATCTGAGGTGCTGTTTCAATCAGTTCCTCTTTGGTGAACCATCTGTCTTCTTTTGGATCCGTGTGATGCGTGTGCGAGGATCTGGGTCCTCGGCAGGCCTAAGGGGCCCCTGTTACAAATGTGCCTGCCCTAAGTGAAGGTGGGCCTAACAAATCTCGAGAGGCCCATTGCTGTCAATTTCGTATTTGGGCTCCAGGCAATTGTGACGTGCCAGCTGGTTGAGGGAAACACAGGCCGAGCAGCAAAGATTTCCACGGCCTTCCAGGCCTTTCCTGAAATGCAGGCCCTGGGCCAGAATCGCAGCTTCATACACAGACAGTTGGGAGGCCCAACCGAACGAGGCCCAACAGCTGCAATAGAGGCACAGCCTCCTGGGGCCTACCGGAAGCTTCTGGGTAGACGCCCAGCCCAGCCAGGCCGCCATTCGTAGAGGGTTGTTGGGCTCCTCCTAGCTTAGCCTCTAAGTCTACGGCCTTCTTGCTAAAGGAGTCCAGAGTATGATATTCGACGTTGGCCTCGCTGACCAGCAAGTTCTTGACGTCTCTGGGAAGACATCTCAAGAACATGGTCATCAAGACCTGTGGATCACAGCGCACGCGCGGGGATGACAATGAGAAGCTCCACGACAGAGGTAAGTTCAATGCGTCAGTGGCCTGCTGGGCCTGCTGAGGGTTGTGACATCGCGTTTCTACCAACTCCATAAACCTCTCTAAAGTATGGGTCTTATACGCCTGCCGAACCCTTTTGAGGCTACTAATCCATCTAACCATTATGCTGCCGAACCCTCACGATACGAGGCGACTGTGATCACCTCTTCCTCTAATAGCGTCCTCTTTGCCCTTACCCACACTGGCACCGTTCTCAACCAAGTGTCGAGAGCCTCATCCTTCTTATCACCTGAGAAGGTCGAGGGTGATTTCAAAGGAGTCTTGGGTTACCAAGGCTGTTGTTGTCCCACTGGTGGGACAGGCTGTTGTGTAGCACCAGCCGCTGGACCAGAAGACGAAGAAGCAACAGTCTGTGACGCTCTTGCTGATGTACCGCTTGGTGAACTGCAAAACTAAGACATAGTGGGACTTGTCATCACAGTCGAGAAAACCGATGATGGAAAAACCGGAGGCCTGAAACTGGGCCAGCCTGTTGGAGATGGAAAAACGCTTCCCATCCCCTGCATGGCATTCTGTATCTGGTCAATGATATCCTGGATAGCATCCAGTTTGCTGTCCATGTAAGAGTGCATGCTTAGTAGACCTGCCTTGAGGATTCTCGTATCATCATCAATGACAGCGTCATCTAACCCTTCTACAACAGCTTTGACTGCCCTCCTATTCTCTAGTCTGGCTTTCCTAGTTATAATCTCCATTTCTTTTTCAGTAGTTTCTCTAAGTTCCTTCTCTAACCGTACGCGGATCAACTCCACTTGCTGGAGTTCAATGGCCTCTCTAGTGTGTGGAGGAGGCGAGCTGTATTGTGAGCCCACCAGCTGACTAGAAGAACTGCTTGATCCCATCCCGCTGGATGTGAACTGAGAACTGGTCGGCATGCCTACGCTCTGCTGACTGCAGGAAGCAGCGGAAGTAGCCATAGCTGCTGCAGTGGCTGTTGCCAATGCAAGCAATTGCTCGGCTGCTGCTGCCGCTTCTCTAGCACTCTGCAAACATTCAGCTACTACTTCCCGTCGTATAGCCCTTTCTCCCTCGGGTGGTAAAGCTTGGTGCACGATTGGAATCCTAAGGGACTCTTGACGTGTCACCCTCCTTCCCACAGATCTATCTTCACCACTGCCTGGTCCACTCATCAGCTAGGCAGCCACTGTCTGCACGAGTGCCCTCACTGGGGCCTACCACAACATGTGTCTGACCGGGTTGAAATATAAATAAAAATAAATTAATATTTGGCAAGTCACCTAGGCTACTGTTCAAGCGGTATCAACAACATCTACACAAACAGTACACATGATCTAATCCTACTCTGATTAGTTTCACTCACAGCAGCTTCAATGAGAACTGGCTATGGTAGAACACTACAGTACTGATCTAGGTTGTCTGTTAGGTGTTAGCAGTCTGTCCACCAACTAATTGAAATAAAACTAAATCATGTGAGCAGATGTATGCACAGTGGGTATGGTTGTGATTAACAATTGAGCGTCAATTTGTACCTTCCTTCCTCTATATCCAACATGCCTGTCCGCATCATCAAGCAGCGGTGTCTAAGGTGCGCATTAACGACCCACCCCTATGCCCATGAATTCGCTTATGACCAGCACTGCCCTTTCTTTATCCTCGCGTGCAACGAGCCTTATGTCTGACTGATCTGGCTGATCAAGAGGCGTTTTAAAGATAGCCCCCAAGGTCCTCAGGAATTGTTTAATGTCGCAGACAGGACGACAATCACAACCAAAATACAGATCAGAACCCCGCCATAAATATTTATAGACAGTTTGCTATGCGTCTGCATATGACTGGTCAGTCCACGATCCCTCTATCAATGCAGCAAAGAGCCTTAAAGGACAAAGCAGCATGGCCTGTGTGTACTACTCCCATGGGTTGGCATGGTGACTGTGACCCGTGCTTCGACCAGGGCTGTTACGAACTCCAACAGGGCTCGATCCCTGGTCTATCTTTTTGTTGTTTCTGCTGCATCCCGTTTTCGGCCTGGCACCCTTTTTTTTCCAAACCCCTCCTTTGGTACCGTCGGATTTTGGACAACTGGCACCATGCTGCAATTCGGGCGCCACTTTCAAATATCGCATTTTTCAGTTCTGCCCTCACGGCTTTTGCGGAAATGGCCCTGGTACCATGCGTGTCACCGGTACTTATACCGGCTCCCCGTACAGTACGGGGACCAGTCTCGTACCAGGTTTTTGCTGCTTTACTCGTACTCAGGTGACTTGTTTCGGTATTCGGAATCCAAGACTTCGACTTTGTGCCTTGCCACTGTGTCTGCGTCCGACCCTCAGTCGTGTCGAGTGAGTGAGTGTGTGTGTGTGTGCTCTCCCTCTCCTTCTCTCTCTCCTCTCCCTCGAATCTCCCTCAGCCTCGTGCTCGTCACACTGGTATCGGAGCGGTTCGATCCCGCCCGACCCACCCTGTTTCGTCGTCACCGCTTGGCCATCATCAGCATCATCGTCGTGATCGTTGTTGTAGTGCCACGTCATCGTCGTCATAGTGCCACGTCATCGTCGTGATCGTCGCCGTCGTGCCACGTCATCATCATATTCGTCGCGATCGTCGCCGTCGTGCCACGTCATCATCATATTCGTCGCGATCGTCGTCGGCGTGCCACGTCATCATCGTCACCGTCGCGATCGTCGTCGCCGTGCCCATTGTCCT